GGGTCTGGGGTTTTAGGGTTTAGGATTTAGGGTCTCAGCCCTAGCCCAAAAAAGGTTAACCTTTCAATTATGGTAGGATTATATAAGCCCCAAAAAGGTTAAAGGTTACCTAGGCAGCTACGAAGAGTTTATCAGATGTCTTTAACATAAAGGGTCCTATAAAGGTTCTGTGAAGGCTTTACCTGTGATGGTGAGGGGTTTCTATAACATGAGGGTCCTGTGAGGGTTCTGTGAAGGTCCTTTGCGGGCTTGGGAGTTTAGGATTGATACTGTAGATGCAGTAAGGCTTGAGGGCAGGGTTTTTCAGGTTCAGACGGTTCATATTGCGGGTTGAAGGATCGGTTTAGGCTTGCCCAGAGAGCCCAATACCCGTTAAATAAGGAATATACCTTAAATTATAGGGGCCTTAGTATTATGATTTAAAGGTATATTCCTTAATTAAGCGGGTATCGGGCTCTCTGGGTGGTGCTCACGGCTCCGGATACAGCAACTCGGTGATTGTGTTGTCGTTTTAGTTTGGAGTTGTGGCATTCAGGACCTCTTCTTTGATTGAGGGCTCAGGGTTTGGGGTTGGGATGTGGGGCCTAAGTTTGTATCAAGCTTGCCTCAAACCCGTAATTAACCCTGAACCCCAAAACCGTAATTTATCAACTGTCTTCATTTCTTGGACACACGCAGCCTTTAACCTGGCTCCCCATTTAACGGCGCTAGGTCTGGCTCGTTAGATATTTGGTGGGTGATCCGGAGCCAGGATAGCCTGTAGGGTTTAGGGCTTCTCAGGTTTAGGGTTTAGGGTTTAAGGGTTAGGGGTTTAGGGTGTAGGGCTTTAGGCTTCAGGGTTCAGGTTTGCGCTTGTGGTTACCCCTACAGAGTCTGTCACTCTGGCAAAATGTGGCACCGGCTACCCTACACGATACCCAGATAACCAATACCCCTTGATTAAGGAGTATACCTTAAATCATAATATTAAGGCCCCTATAATGTAAGGTCTATTCCTTAATTAAGGGGTATTGGGCTCTTTGGGTACCTGAGCCGAAGCCCCGAGCCGAGGCGGCGGCCACGCGATGCTTTACATGGAGTCGCGTTGCTCCACACTCTCCATACACGATGCGGTGCACGACTGCCTTTGAAGGGTTTAGGGTTTAGGGTTTAGGCCACAGTGATTTCGGAAGCTTCGTTCAACCTGGAAGTTGAAGGTTAGGGTTTAGGGTGGAACCTGCTGTAAGGGCTGTCGGGGCGGGGGAACATGAGATCTCTCTCGGTGTGTGTATATATATATATAACTACGTGTGTACACATACCCTACCTACCGACCTACCAACCTATTTATCTATCCATCTGCCTAGCTACCTACTTCTCCATTTATCTATCAGTATGTCAGTATGGGTATATAGATCTATAGACATGTCTGTGTTTGTGTATGTGTGTGTGTATATATATATACACACACCGTATAGCCACTGCAACCACCCTGGTAAG